CAATAAATAATGTCCCTTTGGTCTGCAATGAGCTGAAGGCAGCTCATCTCAATATGTTTTTTTAAATAATAATACTAATAATTGTTGTTATTATTTTCTGCAAACTTTCTTCAGGCCACAAATTCCCTGGTTTTTGGTTACACTTCTGTTCAACGGCCCGCTAGGGAAGAAAATCCTGCTGTTTTTTGAAAACATCCCCTTAAAGTGGAACAAGAATAAAATGTGTCGTTTTCAGCATTGCAACACTGTTTTTGCCCTTATGGCAACAGGCAGCCCTTTTCCCCTAATTTTCATTGCTAGGGCAATTATTCCCCAAGACGGTGCAGTGTGTAAAGAGCACGACTTGGAGAGTTTTTTCAGTTTTTAACTCCAGCTTCTCATCGTGGCAGAATCGCTTTGGTTAGCAGTTCAAGAAAATAAAAAACAGAAGTGCGTTCCTGGTTGCCAGATGAAATCAACCATCTGTTTAATCCTGCTTCCTTCCGTGGACAGCTACAGATTTATTAGATCTAATATTTACATTTGGTAGAAATGAAACCTTTGATTTAACAGACCAGTCGCGGGGACGGGGTGCCATTGTTCCAGAAGGCTTGTCAAATTGGAAATTGCCTCTTTCTGGCTGGTTTAAATTACTTCAGTTATTTGTTTAGCGTCTTTTTAGTATTTTTATCCCCTCGAATCAGCTGGCTGTTAGAGAGGCAACAGCCCACCGCCAACACGGAGGGAATTCACAGATGCAGGGCGCTCCCTTTACGCCGTGGATCCTCCTTTAAAAGCCTGGAAAAGAGCAAACTCCTGGGTCCCCAGCTGGACTCTTCCTCTTTCCTTCTGCACCCTTGAGGTCTAGCAACCCAAACTGAAAAATAAATAAAATGCATCTGAATAGCAGAAGAAACCCGACAGCGATCCCAGCATTATAGTTTAGGGTATGTTTTATTCTGCAAATGTTTGTGACTGCAAATACTTCCTGGGGTGTGCTAATTTTAATGCTTTCGTGTTCTGTTGGTTGCAGTTGGATTTTCCTTGCTGGAGTGCTGAGTTCGGCATGCAAAGCTCCGTCCTCCGTCTGGCCGTCCCTCTGCCAAACAGGCAGTTTCCTCTTGTCTAGGTTTAAACAAGCCATGGCTTCTCCAGAACCAGAGCAAGCCAGTTCAGGCAATTCCACTGTAACCCACCAGATAAGCTTCTCTGAGCGTTAAAGAGGACGTTACACTTACTCGACTTCAAATAAAAAACCGAACGGCCACTTCGAAAGTCACCACCACCAACACACACGCACACAGAACAAGCATTGCACGACCTCTGTTTCTTTGGCAGCCAGAACTGGGGTGGGGTGGGGAGATTAGCAGCTCGCTTGGAAAAAGCACCCCCCCCCCTTCACCTTTCCATCATGACCTGGCAGAGACCGCCGTGGGGCCAGCCTAAAATGGAAAAAATTCGTGCAAGCGAATGTTGCACTTCTAAAGCCAAGCCCGGCAGAGATGCGGTTCCAGGCCCTTCGCTTTGCTAAGGAGGGAGGGGTGGGGGGTGGATGCTCCCTCTGTGCAAGGGGGCAGAGGGAAGAGGGGTTTGCTCTCCAAATCTTGGCTAAGGAAGGGAGGGGGCAGGCAAAAAAATTTTTTTCCCCTGATTCCACCACCCTCCCTCACATTTGAAGTCGGTGCAGCTCTGACTGTACCACATGGTACAGCTACAGAAGCCCAGTGGCTGAACTGAGCAAGGGGGCCCAGAATGGTAAAGCTCAAATTTCCAGCCCCCTGAAAGGAAGCCACATTCGGACTCGGTCCGCGGGTTTAGAAACACAGGCTTCAAGCAAGGCTGGCGTCCTCTCCAGCTTAATAAGATGAAAACACGCCATTTAAATAAATTGGAGGTTATGACTGTCCACAACGAATAGGGCTAATTTTCATTCCCGTGCATACCCACATGGCCGTATTTTTAACCCAGGAAGACTTGCACCCTCCAACTTCCCGTATTTTTAAAATCCCTCTTCGTTCCTGGAACTCTACCCACCTCATTTTAAAGCTCTGTTTCATCTGTCTTTTATGTGCGATGCGAAAATTACATTTCCCAGCTAAATAAAAATGACAAATTAGATTCTGCCTGTCCCTTTCGGTGTCTGCTCAGAAGCCTTAAAAAAAGAAATTCACTGTCAATTTGCCATCTATCAGAACAAACGGGGGGGGGGGGGGAAAGTAACCCTACTATTTTTAACTTGCTGAGTCTGGCTCCTTAAAATAGACTATCACAACATCAATTAATATATTTTGTGATGCCTCATCTTGTCTCGCAGAACTGTTACCCTGCACTGCTTGATTTATAATATTGCAAGGATGAATATTTAAATCTTCCAGAGATTATTCCTTCGAAGCTTATCAGCTGTTTGCCACCAAATGCTTGTACTTTGCAGCCGAATTTCCTCACTGTCCCGCGCATCCTGGAGACGGGAAGCGGTTGGCTCCATTTTCAGCTTAGGCTTTAAAAGGAGGAGCAAGTTTCTAGTCCTCTGTGTTGCAAGGGAACGAGGAAGAGCTACGACCTCTACAGCCATCGAGGAATGGGGGGCAATCCTAGGGTAGGAAAAACCCCTTCCAAAACCTTTGCTGCTGGATGAAACGTAAACATAGGGCACCCAGAAAGCTGACCGAGCAGGATCAGCGGGAATCTCAAGGATAACTTTAATGGAACCCAGGCGTGGGGGCCTGTTTGAAGGAAAAATAGGGGTCTGCTCAGAAGACCTTTGGGGCAAGGTGTTGGCTTAAACGCGAAGCTCGGCGGGGTGGGCCCTTTTCCCCCTCTGCAGAATTCAGGCCAGAGAAGGGCCCGGCTTTGCAATCCAGAGGGAAAAGGGAAAGGTTGGGGGGAAAGCAGCTTTCTGACCTCTCCCCGGGCTGGCATTCAGCTCCGCGCAGAAGGGAGCGACGGCCACGTGGCTTCGGAGTTTCCTGCTGGTGGGGTGGGCTGCCTCGGGACCCTCAAACCCCGCCCTCCGCGCCCCGCTTTCCTTCCCCCCGGCCCAGCCAGCTCTGCCTGCCCTGCTCCGGGGTGTCGCGTCAGCCCTTTGCAGGCTTGGTGTGGGGGACGGGGCCTGGCCCCCGCCTCTCCCGCGCAGGGCAGAGTGCCGCCAGCAGGCCCTGCAGAGGGAGGGGGAAAGCAGAGGGGGCTCCTGCCCCCCAGGACGGGTGCCGGACCCTCCGAGCGGCAGAAAAGGGACTGGGGAAAGCAGCAAAAAGGTCCAGGGGATGTTTTCCATGGGTGGGGCTCTTGCTTTGCCAATAAAACAAAACTTCGTACAACTCTGTCCACGAAAAAGGGGCCTGCGCAGTGAAGATGAAGCAATCCTTCCGTTTAGGCAGTTAAGAAGGTGGGGCACAAGCCGGGTTTCCCCAGCAGGCCTTGGCGAGGCAGATGCCTCCAAGCCCGCACGTCGGGGACCCACGCACATGGTCAGAGGCACTTTTACGGTTCGGGGAGGATGGAAAACACATGGAATACCAAAAACCATATTTTTTTCTGCCAATATCTTCAGTCCACACAGAGTTGGCTTAGCCTGTAGATAACTCTAATTTCCCATGCTCTGAGGACCAGGATGTTGTTCCCCACGTTTGGGGGGGGGGGGTTCAAAAGTCACCCTTTCGAGGGTCTTGCCCTGCAGCGGCCAAGCAGAGACCCTCTCTGGCTCAAAGGGCTGAAGCCTGATGACCATCTGGCCCAGGACGCCGAGGGGAAGGTGCCGGCCAGCCCGAGCCTCTCTGAGAAGCTGTGCTAGTTTTCCCCCCAGTTTGAAAGAGCGTTCCTGGAAAAATACATAAAAACTAGAGGCCCAGTTTGAGCGGCTTCCAAGCAGCTTCTCCAGGAAAGGGGACTGCCAAGGAACACAGATGAGGAGGCAGCCGGGCCTCCCTGTCAACGATGGCGCTTGAACTCCTCACTGACACACGCTTTTTAAGAGCCGGATTGGGGGGGGTCCCCACGGGAAGCTGTGCGTGCCCACTGGGGCTCAGGTCTGCGCTCTCCACAACGCAGAATTGAATGGAGCCCCTTCTCACTGGAGGAAGACCCGACTGGGGGCCTCCATCCCAGCCCGAACGATGGAGGAAAATTTGCAGCACCGGGAGCCAGGAAGGGGGAGCCAGGGGCCCCCAAAGCAGCCCCAGCTCTCGGCGTGGGGCCACCCACCTCTTCTCAGTCCAAAAAAACCGACTCCTGGAGGGAGCAAGGCTGTTCCTTGCTGGGAATCAGCATGGGTGCGAAAACTGGGCTGCCCGGTTATGCTCAGAGGATGATGGATGGGGAATCTTAATCCCCATCTTTACTTTTTGTTTGAAAAAGGACTCTGTTCAGAGCGTGCTCTCTCTTTCAGCCAAATCAGAGAGGACCCTGAGCCCCCCCCCCGCATCCCTTTCCCTGGGATCTCAGTCTGGGTCTTGGACCCCAACCTGCTTCCTCTCCCCAGCGCACTTTGCAGGGCAGGGGGAGAGAAGGGCCCCCAGACCGCCGCTTGTTTGGGACGTTGCCCGGCGAGGCTCTGCCCCAGGGGTGTTTGCTTTAAAGAGGGCGGCTGCCAGCTTCGCCGCCGCCACCGCCGCGTGAGATGTTGCGCCTCCATCCATGCCGCTGCCCCGCCATTCCCAAACCAAGCTCCAGCAGCCAGCCGGCCCTCGGAGGAAAACAAATGACGCCCCCAGAGAACAGCAGGCCAAGTGTGAGCTCACCAACGCAAGGCCCAGACTCAATCTTGTGATCGCCTCAAGGTCCACAGGAATTCCCCCACCCTCAATACGGGCCCTGCTGATCCAAAGCTGCCACCATAACCCGGCCCGTCATCCGCCCCCTGACCCGTCTTTGGGCTCCCATCAGCCGTGCCAAGGACGAGGCCGCGCTCTCTCACTTACGCAATCCCTGCTTCTCTTTCTCGGGGGGGTTCGAGTCTGCCACACGGGGCTTGGGGTGGGCCACTGAGGCAGCAGGAAGAGCGAGCGGACAGACAAAGGCACGCGGCTTTTCCAAAAAGTGGTTTATTGGACCCTTTGCCCCGGCACATCACTTCATTACAATACGAAAAATGCATTGGTTACAAGCAAAGATCACGATGCAGAAATGCAACTGGGCAGGGCAAGATGCCAACCGGCCACCATCACCACCCACCTTTGTGGCTGGCAGGTGTCGCAGGTAAATATTGGTTACTGCTACGCCCTTCTTTGTCCGGGAGACAAACGGGCACTGCGGGGAGGGGGCTGCAGTTTGGAAGCGCAGCGGAAATCAGTTCCTTTCTCCAGCTCACCAGGGGTTCGATTCCTGTCCCTCTGCAGCTCTTCAAAGAGCCGAGCTGCCCCCCCATTCAGGCTCCTGAAGACCAGGCCAATCACTTCAGATGGAGCTGGCACGGCATGGCATGGCAAGGCTGATCCTGCCCCAGGGATCATTGCGGACCCAGAGAGGTTCCAGGATCTGGAGCTGCCCAGCTGGGAGGGGGCCACGTCCCCTGTGCCAGTTGGCCAAGCCGGGGGAGGTGCGTGGGGTGCCAGCAAGGCCCCTTTCCCCTTTCTCCCGTGGTTCCAACAAATGCCCCCCGACAGCAAAGCCAAGGAGGAGCTCCCAAATCTTCACAGGCTCGGCTTTGGCCGGCCTGCGGCTTCCATCGAGGAGATAAAGTGCATTCAAGCAAGGGCTGAGGGAGGCCCCTCTGATCATGAGGTCAGTGCATAGAGAAGGTTTCTGGTCCCACCCCCGGATTTTGGGTGGCGAGGAGATCCGACAACCTAAAGGCCGAAAGAGCAGCTCACCCCCTCCCCAAGCGCAGAGCTGAACCAGCCGGAGGGAAGGAGTGGCAGGGACAGGGCGGGCGGGGGGGTCTGAGCAGGGCAGGAGTTAGCCCCCTCGGGTTTAGGGGGTCGCCTCGGTGGGGAGAGGGGCCTGCTCGCTGCTGAGGAGGGAGATGTGCCCCAGGTAGCTGCGGTCGAAGCACTCGCGGCGGGCGGCCTCGTCCTTGTGGGAGCAGCACTTCTGGGGGTCCTTCCAGGTGCGCCTTTGGGAACTGCAGAACGCGGCAATAAACTGCGATTTCTGGGGGAGAAGAAGAAAGGCCTGGGTTGGGGAGGCAAAGGAGAGCCCGATCGGGGTCCGCCACCCACAGCCCTTTGGGACCGGCTGCTGCACCATCGTTTCCATGGTCGCTGGCTTGACCGCCTCCGGTCCCCCTCAACGGCTCCGGTCTAGCCCCCTTGGGGTCGAAAAGAAGGCCTGGGGAGCCCACACGTCCCTCAGAGGCGAGGATCTGGTACCCCAGATCGATCACTCACCACTTCCTCAGCGCAGGCAGTCCGTTCGCCCTCCTGCAGTTTGCAACAGGTGTCCGTGATGTTCTGGACCAAAGCCGGGTTGGGCCTCCTGTGGGCAGCACAAGATCCCTTGTTAGAGTTTGCTAGGACCGTTTGCGCGACTCTCCCACCCGTGGCTTTGAAAAGCAAGGGGGGAAGGGAAGCCTGCACAGGGGTGGGTGTCTTTAAGCCACGCGGATCTCTCAGACCGTGTTTGGAGATCGGGCGCCCTGCCTTATTTCCTGTTAAGTGCTCGGGGCTGTACAAAACTGTTCGGAAGCTGCATGAGTGGGGCGGACTTCACGTTTCAGCCACAAGAGGGCGCAGCAAGCCAGCGAATCTGAGCCCCTGGATTTAAGCCTTTAATTGCTGCCTTGAGTAATTTATACCAAGACATCAAACACACGCAATAAATTAGCATCGCGTGCTCCGATTTGGAGTTTTCCTGAAAGCCAGCCAGCCTACAAACGTCCTACGCCTTCCTCTATTCACACCCTAACCGGCTGGCCTAAAGAGCATGATGCCTCCCAATGTCTTGGACTACCACCCCCATCCCTCCCAGGAGAATGGGATCTGCGGTCCAGCCCACGGGGAGAGGAAGAGGTTCCGAGAAGGGCTTCCCAAGTGCTCAGACTCCAGAGGAGAAAGAGAACGTCCCGCCTGCAGCCTCCCAGCCAGCGGGCGAACAGACCCCGGTTTGACTCCAGCGCGCCCAGCAAAGCGATGGGGTTGGCAGGGAAATGAATACTCACTGCTTGCTATCTTGTGAGGCTTGGCTGCAAAGGGAGTCCAGGAGCAGGGGGGTGAGCTGGGCCAGGTTGAGCAATGCCCCCTCTTTTTCATAAGTGGGGAAAGGGGCTTGGCTGGCGAAGCAGGTGAGGCGCGCCTGTTTGGAGGCCTCTCGGCAGCAGTGGAAGGGGAGGGTCTTGGTCGAGTACTCCTGCTTGCAGAACCGGACCAGGCCGCCTTCCCACGGGGGAAGGGGGGGGGGGGGACAAAGGAGGAAAAGGAGTTACCCACAAGAGGAGGGAAGGAGAGACTCACTCACTGCCCTACGCAAAGGGGCAGGGTGTGGGGGGACGAGGACCAGAAGGAACTGCATTAGAAGACGGTGTCTGGGACTTCCCCGCCGCCCCCCCCAAGGGGAGAAATGGGAACGGGGACTAGCAAGAGTCTGTGAAAGGTTCCCCACCACAAGACAGCGAGAACCGAAAACCAGCAGGTTTCACAGCCCACAGTAAACCCCAAGCCCTGGAAAGGATCTGGTGTTTTTTAATTAGATGTTCTGCGGACAGATAAGGGCGTGTCTGGGCTCCATGCCACAGACCCAACCTGGCAAAGTTGCCACATTTTGCCTTGCGTCACCGAGATCCACAGCAGCCCACTCGGCGCTGTCTTCCAGGTGAGATGGCAAGGGGGGTCTGGCCCTCTGGGGGGGAGCAGCAAGTGCAGCCCAGCCAGCCACTTTTTAAAAATTATTTTGGGAGGGAGGGGATTCCCCCTGCTGACGCTGCAGAACCGTCATGATCCCCAGATAGTTTGTTCTGAGGGAAAGAAAGGATTCGGTGCTTTGGACAAAACCCTGCTTCCTTCCAGGACGGAGAACTTGGACGTGCGATACCTGAATAACTTCTTTTTGCTTTAAAAAAATTTTTTTTTCATGACATTCTTTGGATGTCAAGAGCAATGTTTAAAGTTGCTTAAACACCTGGTCAAGAGTGGCCAGAAGGCCCCCAGCCACGTGCTTCAGACCGCAGGACCTGCACCCCGGTGGCAATGAGACCAAGGAAGACGGGCATACAAGGGCCAGCTTTGGGGTCTTCCAGAACGCTTCGCCAGGCCAGGGGGCCAAAGAGCATTGCAGAAGAAGAGCTTCGAGGCTGCAGGGTTTAGTCTGGCCTGGTTGAAGGGCGCCTCTTGCAGAGCGCTGCTGCAGAACCGACGCGGGACCCCCCAACACCCCCCCTAGCACAGGAGCCCACTCACCGCGTGGGTGCAGCAGGGCAGCCTCTCGCCCTCGGCCAGCTGGCAGCAGCGGGTGAACCGGGTCTCCAGCTCACTCAGGGCCTCCCCCTGGCGGGAGAGGTGGCTGAAGCTCGTCTGGGGCAGGTTCCAGGGCCCGTAGGAGGGCTTCTTCCGCTCCGCCGAGCAGAGGTGGCCCATGTTGCCGAGGGAGGGGCGGGCGGGC